CTGCATAAGACCTGTTGCTCATGGACCTGATGTACCTGTACCTACTCCAATGGAGACTCTTGATACAGTTTCATCTGATGTCAATAAAAACGATGATTGGGATCGTTTTCAACCTGAAACGTCTGGTGAACCACAACTTTGCACACAAGGTGAACTTAATGATTTGGGCCTTCCAAAGGATTCTTCAGAGATTTGGGGGTCCAGACTTCGGGCTCAGAACTTACTTTCTCCAGGGACATCATTTTATTGGTACAGAAAGAGCTTATACCGTACTTTCGGCAAAAAGATTCAATGGTTTATTGAATTAACACCGATGCTAGGAGCTGCAGTCTATGAACCAAGTGAGTGGCGATTGTTCATTGATTTCTCCAAAAAAAGACTAAAAGGTGTTCTCCTTCACATATATGGTAACATATATGCATCCTATTGCTCATTCGGTTCACTTGAAGGGAACGTACAAAAATCTCGAACTTCTTAATAAAGTCAAATACAAAGAACATGGTTGGGTACTTTATGGAGACCTAAAAGTTCTTTGTATGTTGTTGGTTCAACAATCCAGTTATGCAAAGTTTCCATGTTTTTTGTGTAAATGGACAGCAGAGCACGAAATCAGCACTGGATAAAGAAACAATGGCCACAAAGACTCAGCCAGATACCAGGGTCGAAAAACATTGAACGTGAAAGTTTGGATGACACAAAGAAAGTCCTATTGCCTTCACATAAACCTGGGCTTGATGAAACAGTTTGTAAAGGCCTTAGATAAAGACGGTGACTGTTTTAAGTAATTATGTGGGCAATTCCCAGCATCGGATTAGGAAATTGACTTCGGATAAACAGTTCAAAAGGACAATGAGGAAAGTTGGAAAAAAAAAGCGGAAATTGCCTTTAAACATGTTACTGACACAACTATGTTGGCAGAAATAGAGTTTTTGTAATGAAGTAATAAGTTCCATAATCGGGTAGAAATATAAAATAATTCCACTTCGGAATAACTCAATAAGTAACAAATATCACTATTGTATGACAACGAGTATACTAGTTGAGATAAAATAATACAAAGAAATAGAAAATAGAAATAAAAATTCCAATTCTCTTAAAAATATCTTGAATGTTTGATATAAAAATAAATATGACTTAAAATTTGATATTGTTTCATGAGCTTAATAATCTAAGTTTGATTTTATAAGTGCCATTGAAATAATTTTAAATAAAGAATGAGTCGAAAGATAGGAGGGTCAAGAGTTGTAGGACTAAAGTTGTTAATATTGGGATGAGTTGCATGTAACACTGAAGATGAGCATCATTGATGTGATTTTTGACAGGTCTTGCAGAAGCTTTCTCCAGAAGGGTATTTGCTTTCCAATGTTATGATCAAAGTGTGATGGTCCAGTAAATGAGCAGTACTAGAAACAAAAGCTTTGATGATGTCACACAGGTAAACATATTAGAGCTATTTACTTCAAAAAAAGGCATTTTTTGTTCATAAGTATAGTAATTTTTTTTCTGGTTTGACAGGAATAATACCTGTTGTCCAAGGAATTACAGTTTTCTATCTGAAAGCACCTAATGCATACATGGGCTAAATGGCCAAGTGAGGGACTACTAGGATTCAAGTAAAATCTTCCTTAATTTCTAACTACTGGTCTGAGTGAGGGAGGCCAACCAGCAGCACTCCCCCCATAAGAGCATTGTCAGACTTTTAAAACCAAATAATGGGATTAACTGAAATTTTTACAGCATGGCCATAGCTGAAAATATGGAACGTATTTAGTGGCAACACATATAAAACTTCAATCTACAGTCAAGCATTCTAACCTCTAGGCCACATCTGGCCTATGATCAACTAGTAATTATTATTGTTAATAGAGCGCAGTTATAATCCGAAAGCAAGATGAGCTGAGTCTGATTCGAGCCATACAAAAAAAGATAAATTTAAATGATAATAGTTTATAAAACCACCTTAGTAAATGTTTTCATGTGGATTGTCTGAGTGCTTCATTTATATCATAATTCCAAATGTTCCATTTAATAATCTCACTTATTGTGGGTTTCCATGAGGCCAGTTTCTCAATATCTGTCTTAACAATAATTTATTTGTTTGTTTGTAGTTTAAGCACGAAGCTACATAATGGGCTATCTGTGCTCTGCCCACCACGTGTATCGAAACCCGGTTTATATCGAGTCCACAGACATACCGATATACCATTGGGGAGGGGCGTCTTCCTTTTAGTGTTGTGTGAACATTAACATGTTCATATGAGTATGATTGCTGTCTATGGAAGCTTTGAAGTGAACACTTTGAATTCTAAACTGTCCACTTATAGAAAAGCATCAATACATTGAAGCACTTCAACAAATGCCATCATAAGATTGTGTGTGTTAAAATTACTGGTGAGTCTAAAAATAAGGAACTTCTAAAATGATCTGTAAAACATTTTTCAAAAGTTGGACAAAAATGATCTGCAGATAATGTCTGTCAATTGGAACTGGCAAAAACATTATAAATATAAAGTATGTGTTCTAAGCAGCAGAATTGGATTCTGGGTCATTTATCAGACAAAGCCGTAATGGAACAATTTCTGCTACTAGTGGAATGTCAAGGGTTAGCA